AAGGCCTTGGCCATAAATGGCACCTCTTTGTGCTTTGATAAATACTGGAACTCTGATTTTGCCCATCTCATTCCCTTAACAATGTTTTTCCCCAAGAACCACTTTGATCTCACATTCCATCCACCCAGACCTCAGACTGCACCTCTAGGTGGCACCTCACCTAAACACTCCTTCCTCGCCTACCTTGGACTAACAGAAAGGGCAGAAACTGTCTGAGGACAGTTACATTCTGTACCAAAAATACCCTAACAAACCCAGCAGGTATACATTGCTGCAAAACCTAGACTGAAGAGGTATGAACACTTGTACTATATATCATTAGTAAGATTTAGAAAATGGCTCTGTGTGTATACTTACTGCATTGACCTGAAAGCTGCTTTATTAAATCTTCAGAGAGGTGAACCTACTGCATACTTCTACCTTCAGAGGCATGTTCCCAGTACTCTTATCTAAGAAACAATTTTGTCTTGTTAAGCTGAAGAAGAGTGTCCTTAATGGCAATCAGCACTTGTAAGATTACATATTGATGCGTTTTATTTTTGGTTTGTGTGTGAGTGCGAATGTGTGAAAGAGAGCCTGTCTGTAGTGTGCCATGACATTGCTTTTGCACATCCTTTGTATTGGCTTATTTAATAATTATTTTTTAAAAATTCCCTTTTTATTTACTTTCTCCCTTTCTTCTGCCTCCCCCCACCCTCCTTTTCATTTTAGAATTTTGTAACTCCAGGATTGTTGAGAAGAGCAATGCTTGGTTCAGTGAGGATTGGTATATTGGCTTAGTGCTGTTTGCAGTTTCCTATAGTGTGTTTGGTGCCTTGTCCTCACATAATCAGTTGTAAAGATTTGAGGATTAAGGTGGAACAGATCTGGAAGAAATTACTTTCAGCACTGTAAGATGAGTGTGTGAAATTGAAGTATGTGTGTGTGTATATACATACACATGCCTTTAGTGTGTGCATTATATATACACACATTCACAGGGCCAGATCCTTTACTGTTACGCTGGTGTAACTACGATCAGAATCTGGCCCATAGTGTACATCTTTTGTTTTAAAAGGGCATATATATAGATATAAATATATATACTGTATTAATGCAGTGGTTACCTTTAGTTTGCAGGAACAACTTGTATAACTAGAATTCTATGGTGGTTAAATCCAGCAAAGGGGATTAAAAAAAAGATATGGATAAATTCTGGGTATAAATGCTCAGACTAAAAAAGGCAGTTTTGCACAGTGCTTTAGTCTTGCACTAGTTTGTTTCTCACTTGCAAAAAAAAAAAAAAAGAAAAAAAGGAAGAAAACATTTCTTTTATGGGATGAAGTAACATCAGATTGTATGTTTGAAAAGGTACCGGCAACTTCTTTGAAAGAGAAAGATATGAAAAGGTGCTGTGTAATCATACAGTTCTCTTTTTATACTCTCAACTTTTCAGTTGTATCTGCAAATTACGTGGTCCTATCAATATTATCCTCCATGTTATTAGTACTATTTTATTCCTTTTTGTTAATGGCTGATAGAGTGTACACTGCTAGAAGGCTAACTTTATACTTATTTAATGCTCTTACTTTGTGGTCATTAAAATGACAACTTTATATGTAGCACTTTATTGCAGTAAGAAGCAAAAGTGGATTGGTTGTATAACCTTTGTTAATCTTAAAAAGCAAACAGTGATCTTAAAGAAAGAGGAAAAAACTTTGGCTGCATGTTAATAGATCTCTATTTCTTAAGATAACAGTTTCCAGAGCAAAACAGACAGAAAGGTCAGGAGTAAAAGTTTCTTTCGATTGAAATTTGGAGTATAAAGTATTGAACCTTTAAAAATTATTTCTCTCTTAAAATCAGTTAATGTACAAGAATGCTTTCTTATTGTGTTACTGTTTTCCATGGTATTGGCATTTGGTCTAGATCTTTGTTTCATCATTTGTTTAGAGATCTCCCTTGCTTTCTTCAGGGTTTCCCCCAAACGAGCTTTAAAAGAAGTGGCCCTAATCAGATTTAATTTTCTACCTCCACATCTTCCCTATCTGAAAGCATCCTCTCACACACACATTTAAGGGTCTAATCCAAATCTCCTTGAAGTATATGGGGAGATTCCTAACAACTTCAGTGGCTCTGAATCAGGCCTGTTGTTTATGACTGTACCAAAATAAGGCCCCAATCAGGGAAGCTTCCTTGTTCAGGGAAGGCTCTTAGTCATATATTGAACTTTAAACATGTTCTTAAATTCTGTTGTACTTAAGAACTTGTTAAGCATATGGTGAAATGCTTTCCCGAGCCAGGACCTAAGACATTAAGTCATTAAGCTCATTTGTAAGTTTCCACACCTTTTAATACATGTTAAAACATTAGAAGCTGTCTGCAATGAGAAAACACAGAATGAGGAGAACCTCACATTTTAGCAGACTGTAATATACCAATTTAAAAGTAAAGTAATAATGACAAAATATTTCCCACCTAATTGTTTCAGTTCCATCAGATATTTTTGGTCCTGTGAGCATGTGGCTATTCTAGCTAAGCTATTAATATAAGTCATCTGTTCCAAATTTCTGTCTAACTCTATTTATAGGCAAGGCAAACAATTCAGGCCCTGTTTATCATATTATTGCACCTACGCCATCAAAACCCTCTTTGACTTCTTCGGGAGTATTGACAAAAATAGAGAGTGCTGAGTAGTGCTCTCCATTAGTAACCCATTCAGAATAAGAACTGTTAAAAGATGAGTTTCTTTACCCCCTGAATTATGCAGTCTGCATTTCAGTTAATACAACTGTTACAAAAATACATTCACAGTGTTTCTGACTGACCCTACTACAATAGAGCAGACACTTTAAAAAGAAGGAAAAAGCCCACGTGTGCATCAGTGAGTAAACTACAGATGTATAAGAGCAAAGAAGTAGGAATGTTTAAAGAATATTTTCTGTAAACCAAATTGCAATATAATAAGGCTGGAACTCACCCAGGAATGAGTGTTATGAAGCTGTCAGCATATTAATCCCATGTGTTTAAGTTTTCTGCCAAACCTATATTTGAATGACAATAACGTTTGATATAACTGAGCAACTTTGTTTAGCACTTTGGAAAAAGACATTTAATTCTTTCTGGTGAGGGAGAAAAGATGTATTTGGAGGTGTTTTATTTTTGTTAAGAAAAATATACAGTATTTATTGGAGCCCTCGCATATACATAATTGGTTTGCAGTTCAAAGCTAAGGAAAGGAATGTTCTCCATAGATATCTCTGACCTATTAAAGACTAAAAGTTCTGGTAAACTTCCACCACCCCAAAGCTGATTTCATAGCCGTTTTCACTATGCATTCTTAAATGAAGGTTGACTTGGTTTTCCATCCAGTAATTCAGTTAAAGTTCTCAGCACTTTCTTCCTTTCTCCTGTCCTTTTTTACTTGCATTATGTTCAAATATCACACTGTCAAGGTTTGTGTACATTAATAAAATTTGTATTGTATAAAGCTTTTTGCATTATAAGGCTGTACAGGGTCATTTTGACAGTAACTGGTATATTCCTTTGCATCTTATGTTGCATTGCCAATTTCTAGTGTATCCAGTTTGGAAGTACAATATACGCTAATTAAAAAAGGTTGGCTATACTCTGGTTTCTTTTCATTTTTCCCCTCCCCCTCCACTGGTTTTGTTAACTAATCTATCTAACTTTAAGGATTTTTTAAAAATGCGGATAGGGGAGTATTCCCAACAGGAGTAACAGACCTAAAAAGGTAAGACCGGCATTTTATTCAGTTTTAACCATGGGAAAATTCTGTGGCTTTTTTGTAATTCTAGTTGTTGTTACATTTTATATATTTCTTGATCAAAAGTATGAAAATGTAAGTAAATTAATAATTGACTATTTGGCCTTCAGCCATACTGTGTTGTGTTGGAATCTTTTCTAATCTTACAAGCTAAGCAGAGTGGGATCTGCTTAGTACTGGGATGGGAGACCTCCAAGTAGCACTTGTATACTGTTTGAAGTGGTGCTGCATGATTCAGGATGTGGTACTTTTTCCTTTGATTCAATAATGAACCAATGCTCCAGTATATTTTTAAGGGGCATACTGTGTGGCTGAAAGTGCTGTCTTTCAGATGAGATATAAACGAGGTCTTGACCTGAGCCATTGTAAGAGCAAAAAAATAATCTTACTTGCTAGCCAAATGTAACTTTATGTAACTACATTCTATCTACCTTCCAGATATCCCCCCTGTATTTCAATTGAATACAGCATCCTTCACTTCTTTTCCTAAAGCTAATGTGTAGTATTGTTGTGTACTGTTAAAAACTTGTTGTATTCCACCACAGATATTTTAGTAGTGATCCCTAAATATAATTTGTATATGATTTCCTTGTAAAGTACTTTGAGATCCTTCAGATTAAAGGTTGGGCATATAAATGAAAGCCTTGTTGTGACAGCCACAACACAGAATTTAATAAAGGTCCCTCTTACTATCCCTTGTAAAAGTATGACCAATTATTCATGATAGCCTTTAGGTAAATTATAAAGAAATAGTGTCAATGACAGGGTGATTAGATCAGATTAGGTTATCGTAACGGTCCCTTCTCCCCTTAAAAGCTATGACATGCTGATTTACAACCAGATTCTGCCACCCTTACTCATATTGAGTAGTATCTTACTCCACAGATAACCCAACTGAAACCAGTGGAACTAATTGTGGAGTAAGGTGCTCCTTTTTATGAGTAAAGGTGGTAGAATCTGGCCTTTAATATTCATTTAGTACATTTTGGTGAAATAATGTGAATTTTTCTGTCATCCAACACAGTGTGTATGTTTTGTCAACGTCTTGTAAACATCAACATAAAAAAAGGATAATGCCATTAAGACATTCCGATGCACAGGAGAGATGGAGAGAGGGGAAACATCTACACAGATCCAAGGTCAGACATAAATTGCCAAGGGTCATGGAGGTGAGGGCACTAGTTACCAAAACAAGAGCTTTGAAATGAAGTTAGAATAGAATATTGAACCACTGTAATGAGGGAATTCTTTTATTCAAAGCAATCTTCAGTGCAAATCAAGACATGGTATAAACTTCTAATTAGCTGGAGAATTCTTGGTTGTATTCCTAGAGCAAATATTCTAATCCTTGGGTACCATGTTAGCACCTAGTAGTGATTACGACAATGCTTTATCATGCTTTTTCAGTCTTGTGTTTAATCCTGCTCCTGCATCAATTGGTAACTAGTTATGTTCTAGGAAAGGTGCTTCTATTTTTTACATGGCCCTGGCTGCATAATCAGTCACGTTTGAGAAAAGATTGCCTCGCGCTCTCCACTTCAGCTGTTTCTATAACAAAGGAAAAGTAAAATGAATATTCTTCGTATACTTTGAGTTATAAATATTAATAAATCTGCATCAATAGTAAAAAGATAGAGGATAAACTAGACCCTGGGCAGCTTCTATAATATCTTTCATATACAATACCAGAAACTGATCTATCAGACCCTCATTATGTCTTAATCCCTCCCTTACAATAAACATTTTGGCCAGATCATCAGCTTTCGTAAATTATCATAGCTCAGCTGAAGTCAGTGGAGCTGTCACAATTACCATTAGCTGAGGATCTGGTCATTTTGTGTAATTTAAAGAAAGAAAGAAAAAATCCGGTTTGTCAGATTTGCCATATTAACTAAAATGACAATATTTAGTTCCTAATTAGAGATGGAACAAAACCAACCCAAACAGGTCCAAACTTTCACAAACCTTAGAGTCCCTCTGGACTCAAATTTGTGACAAAAGGGTTCTAGAGATGACTAACAGCAGAGTCTATATCTTACCAAGCCACACACTGATCAGTATACATCCATACAGAACATAGGTCTATTACAGAAGTGGGTGGGTGGGTGAGGTTCTGTTGCCTGCAATGCGCAGGAGGTCAGACTAGATGATCATGATGGTCCCTTCTGGCCTTAAAGTCTATGACAACAGTAAATATTCAAATAGTAAGACTAAAATTAATCAAAGTTTGGTATGGGGGAAGAGAGAGATCAAAAAATAACATTCGCAAATCTAGAAAAGCTAGATCACTTTTTAAAGGTCTCTGGCTACCTCGGAACACTGCACGGTTTGATTTATGTTATTAAAACTTTATTAAATTAATTTTTCTGACATGTACAGAATATGTTTGTGGGGTGATATAAAGGCTTTATCGGTACACAGATGGGATGATTCCCTCAATTAAAATTAGAGGGAGCAAATACCTGACGATATAGTATAAAGATTTTGTGTGTGCTGCATATGCCTCATATATTATAGAGAAGCTATTTTAGAAAAGTTTTAGAGCATTTTAAACATTTGAATTGGCACTATTTCCTGTAATCCTCTACCTGTCAGACTGTAAAGCCAAGTGCCTCTGTCATGAGGAATCCAACAGTACAGGGCTCCAAAGGATACATTAAAAACCAATAACAGTTACCTAAGATAGCTTCTCTATACCCATATCTAAATTGATGCTAACTGTAGAGATTTTTGTCGTAGATCATATCAGTTTTGCATAGCCATATTTTAAAATATATATGTGTTGTGGTTTTAAAATATCACTTGTTCCTTGTGAACAGATGTCCACAGTACAACAACTGCAATAATATTTGGTGCTGATTAGCTTCCTTTTTGGCAAGTCTCAGCAGAGAGGCTAAAGACTGATGGTGAAAGTAAGCTACTATCTCACCCCTAGAAATGGTCCCTTCAGGTCAGGACCAAGGCCCTATGTGCAGAAGGTTGCACTGTACCTTTCAAACAGATCCTGTTCTGTGGGCTAATAAAGGATGTATTCTCTAGGGCTGTCAATTAGGCACCCTTTGCAAACACTTAATTCACATTTTTTAAAAGTCAACTGTACTCGACGCACTTGATTGGCTGTCTAGTAGCAATATGCTCCCACAAGGCAGGAATCACATTTTTTGACCCATGTTCATGTTTGAGCTCCCCAAACTGGCAGAAATGTTTTATTCAGTATTTTATTAATACTTGGTTTGTATACAGCCCTTGTCATCCACACAACTTAAAATACGTGACAAAAAAGGGGTCAATATTCTAATACCCAGGTTAAGTATCGGAGAAGCTGAAGCCCATAGAGTGACATGACTTGCTGTAAATCACACAGCAAGCCAATGAGAGAGGCATGGTGGATGAGGTAATATCTTTGAATGGGTCATCTTCTGTTGGAAAGTACTCATTTCTGAACTACACAGAGCTCTTGTTCAGGTCTGGGGAAAGAAGCAGAGTGTCTGTCTTTCTTCTGCAGACTGAGAAAGAGTTCTGTGTAGCTCGAAAGCTTGTAACTTCCACCAACAGAAGTTGGTCCAATAAAAGATACTACCTCATATACTTTGCCTGGGACCAACACAGCTATGACAACACTGCAAAAAGGTCAATGGTAGAATAGAAACAACCTTCCTAGAAAATTACTATGCTATCTTTTAAATCTCTTCTCTTCGGCTATCCCTTGATATGAGGATGATGTGTGCCAAGGGGGTCGGTTCATTGATAGGTTTTTAAGTGGCTGAGAAGCCCAATTTTCCCACAGAAGTGGCAGTTGTAATCTTGGATGAGACATAGTTGCTGGCTGGACTGTTGTGCCCTTTCTTTCCTCCTTTGTTGCTTCTCTGTCTCATGAGCAGGTCTGTTTTCCCCAAAGTGAGCTGTGGCTCGGTGTATGGTGTGGTGCCACTGTGTTCTGTTCTGCGCCAAGTCCTCCCAGTTTGCTGGGTTGATGCCTCCCTTTTTAAGATGTACTTTCAGCATGTCTTTGAAGTGCTTCCACTGCCCTCCAAGAGCCCTTCTTCCCTGACTTAACCGAGAGAAGAGTACTTGCTTCGGGAGGCGAGTGTCAGGCATATGTACACAGTGACCAGCCCAGCGGAGCTCGTGTTTTATGACCTGCACTTCTATACTGCTGATGTTGGCTGCAGAGAGAATGCTGATGTTAGTGCATGGCTCTTCCCAGCTGATCCTGAGAATCCTCCTGGGGGAGTGCTGTTGGAACCTCTCCAGCCGCTTGAGATGTCGTCTATAGGTTACCCAGGTCTCACATCCTTATAGAAGGGTGTGGATGATAACTGCCTTGTAAACCAAGACCTTGGTGCCAATTTGCAGATCCCTATCGTTGAAGACTCGTTTCAGTAGTCTTCCAAAGGATGTGCTGGCACAGCAGATCCTGTATTCAATTTCTGTGTCAATGCTGGCTGTTTGGAGAGGTGGCCCCCAAGGTATGGAAAATGGTCTCCATTTTCCAGGGGTTCTCCACTGATGGTGATTTATGGAGTATGAAGAGTAGTTTGTGCAGATGGGGGCTGGTAGAGTACTTTGGTTTTCCCGATGTTGAGAGAGAGAGAGACCCGGGTTGTGATAGGCATCTGCAAAAAGATTTAGGGTACTTTGCAGGTCAGCCTCTATGTGTGCAAGAATGATGCAGTCATCTGCATACTAACGGTCGGTGATGCCAATTTTCGTGATCTTAGATTTTTTTTGGAGGTGTCAGAGATTGAGGCGTTGACCATCCATATGATACTCAATCCTGATTCCATCAGAAAGGTGGTCACGGATGAGAATCAGGACCACAGCAAAGTAAATGGAGAAGAGTGTTGGAGCAATGACACAGCCCTGCTTGACACTAATGCAAATGATGAATAGTTTAGTCTCTGAGCCGTTGCACAAAATGGTGGCAGTCATCCCATCATGGAGTAGTCTGATGATAGAAATGAATTTCTGTGGACAGCCAAACCTACACAGCACCTTCCATAGGACATCAGGATTGATAGTCTAAGGCCTTGGTTAGATTGATGAATGCCCTGAACAGTTCCGGGTGTTGCTCTCTGCACTTCTCCTGAATCTGTCGTGCCACGAAGATCATGCCATTTGTGCCTCGGGATGGCCTGAAGCCACACTGTGATTCAGGGAGTAGTGCCTCAGTACGGGGGAGAAGGCGGTTTAGCAGGATCCAGGCAAGGACTGTCCCTGCGATGAAGAGGAGGCAATACTGCTGTAGTTCCTCCACAAAGATCTGTACCCTTTCGTGAATATTGTAACAATGTTGGCATTCTTAAAGTCAGGTGGAATTTCTTTGCAGGTCCAGAGTTTGTCGAGAAGTTGGCAAAGTTTGTGCTGGAGTATTGTTCCACCAGCTTTAAAAACCTCAGCTGGGATGCCATCTGGCCTGGTGCCTTGTGATTTTTTGTCATAAAGCAGTCACCATTGTAATATTAAAAAATAGATCATAATACAAAAATATTCCTTCTACTTACTATAGGAAATACCGAGGGAGTAACAGCAATATTTACTTGCCAAATAGCTGTAAAGATTTTAATAGCAACTTCTTTCGTTTTTCTACTGCAGGATAAATAAAACTCAAGTTTGTCGCATATTCTCATCCCTTTGCAGAGGGATCAGTGTAAATAACCTTCCACTACTTGCTGTACTGAGGTGGTTTAGGGTCTCATCAATTCCTATTCAAGTCAGGGAAAAGTTTCCTATTGACTAGAATAGGAATTGGATCAGGCCCTAGGAGCTGTGTTGAAACTCACTAGCTTCAATTCACAGTTGTTTCATATGAAAACCTTTCCGTCAGTTTTACTTTCTGTGGGTTTGCACCTCCTGTGCCTAAAAACTCAATGCAAAGTTCACTTGAGATTACTAACTTTCAGTTGGCTTCTCATGAAAATCATGTAGATCTGTGAATCTCACACCCTTTTGGTATGAAACCAAAAATCTGCTCAAGAGTCACAAATGTTTTGACAAATCTAAGCTAAGTTTTGAGCTTCTATCTAAACCCAGTAAGAACATGGTTTTATTTGGCTTGTGGTCTTGTTACAAACATGTTGCACGGCTCTTGCATAGTATCTTGCATCAATGTTGCCTGGTATTTTGCACAGTTGCAAGATACTATCCAACATCAAGACTAGATGTTGCATAGTATTAGTATCCCAAGATACTAGGTAGGCTAAAGATATGGCTATGCCGCATGTCAGTCCAGCTGTTGTGCTTGCATGCATGTGCAGAGCAGCTGATTTTTACAAGTTGGATGTGAGAATATCTATAAGAGGGACTGAATTCCATGAGTGACTGCTGTGCAGTAACAATACTGATGAGATGCAGCAGTACTGAATGATCTGATTCTTCAGTCTGCTTGCCTACTTTTACATAATTGGTGACAACTTCCCATTCTTGGAAGCTTTCATGCTTCTGTTCTTTTTTTCCCTTCCCCGAATTGTGTCTAATATTTGGAGTTGCCACTTCCCTCACACATGGAAAATATCTCTAAGAAAAATATGGACTAAGGACAGAGTTAC